AACAAATGTACAAATGTGCTTGACACAATTGATGTATGTATGGATTGTGATAAGAGTTGTATGAGCCCCCAATAAAATGATTTTTTTTAAAAAGAAAGGAAAGTAAGAAAAGATTAAAGTGGATATCAGAAGAGACTCTGAGTAGCTAAGGCACATGGAAGAAATGATGAAGTCAAAGAGCTTAATAGAAAATTTCAAAGGGCAGCTTGAGAAAACAAAGAAAAACATTAGAATGAAATGTGCAGGGACTTAAAATTAGGGGTCAGGGTGAGGGGGCAGGAAGAATATGCTTGGCATATCTTAAACTGAAAAAAACTTAAAGAAAAAAACTGAAGTCTCAAGTTGTAATATTGAAAAATTCTATGGGCAAAATATTGAATGATGCAGAAAGCATCTAAAGACAATGTAAAAAATAGAATCACTGTACCAAAAAGAACTAGTCAACGTTCCACCACTTTAGTCGGTAGCACATCATCAAGAACCAGTGGTATTAAAGGAAGAAGTTCAAGCTGCACTGTAAGCATCAGCCAAAAACAAGGCTCCAAGCATTGATAGACTATCAATTCAAGTGTCTAAACAAGCTGATAAAGCATTGGAAGCACTTTCTTATCTGTGCCAGGAAAACTGGAAGACAGCTACTTGGCCAACTGTCTGGAAGAGATCTATATTTGTATCTATTCCAAAGAAAGATTATCCAACAGAATGCTCAAATTATAGAACAATATCATTAATATCACACGCAAATAAAATTTTGCTGAAGATCATCCAATGATGGTTGCAGGAGTATTTTGACAGGGAGTTACCAGAGGTTCAGGCTGGATCTAGAAGAAGTGAGACAAGTATCATTGCTACTGTCAGATGGATCTTGGTTCAAGGCAGAGTAACAAAGGATGTTTATTTGTGTTTTATTGACTATACCAAGGCATTCAAGTGTGTGGATTATAGCAAACTATGGATGGCCTTGGGAAGAATGGGTATTCCAGAACACTTCATTGTGCTCCTGGAGAACTTGCACATGGAACAAGCGGCAATTATGTGAACAGAACAAGGGCATACTGCATGGTTTAAAATCAAGAAAGGTGTATGATGGGGTTGTATCCTCTCACCATACTTATTCAATCTGTATGCTGAGAAATTCATCAGAGAAACTGGATTACATGAAGAATGGGGCATCAGGAGTAGTGGAAGGCTTATGACACAACCTTGCTTGCCAAAAGTGAGAGACTTGAAGCACTTGCTGATGGGAATAAAGGATTGTAGACTTCGGTATGAATTACAACTCCATGCCAAGAAGACCAGATCCTCACCGCTAGACCAATAATTAGCATCATGATAAATGGAGAAAAGATTGAAGTTGCCAAGGTCAAAGATTTTGTCTTGCTTGGATCCACAATTCAATGGTCATGGAAGCAGCAGTTAAGAGATCAAAAGACGTGTTGCATTGATCAAATCTGCTGAACAAGTCCTTTTAAGAGTGTTGAAAAGCAGAGTTTACTTTGAGGACTAAACTGTGCCTGACCCAAGCCATGGTAATTTCAATCGCCTCATGTGCATATGAGAGTTAGGCATTGAATGAGGAAGACAAAAGAAGAATTGATGCATTTGAATCATGGTGCTGGTGAAGAATTTTGAAATTACCGTGGACTGCTAAAAGAACAAATAAATCTTTCTTGAAAGAAGTATGATCAGAGTGCCCCTTAAAAGCAAGGATAGCAAGACTTCATCTCCCATACCTTGGACATGTCGTCAGGAGAGACCAGTCCTGGCAACAACAAGTGTTCAATTTAATGTTTTCTCTGTGAAAAGCTCTGTATCAAGAGATAATAAAATGACAAAAATGTCAAACTTAAGGAGGGAGAAGTACATCTGGCCCTTAGACCTAGTAGACTGACCTTCCAGACAGGCTGCAGAATAGAAGACAATGTTCGTTGTTTCCAGGGGATTGTCATGGGTGCAATCACAGGACCGGGACTGGGGCTCCGATTCCCCTGTGAGTGATGAGTTATCCACCTAGGAGAAAATTTGAAAAGATGTTCAAAATTGGGCTTCTTGCCCGAGTTATACTGAAATTGGTAAAGCCAATAAAAGATCAATGGGTAAGGAGCTGATCCTTAGGGGTGCTGCACGATGCTTACCTTGCACCCCTGAGAAGACAGCAATCTGAGGTCTGCAGGAATCTGGTCTCCTCCTTTAATCTCCACTATGTCCCCCACCACCAGCTGCTCTGAGGGGATTGTCTTCTTCTCCCCGTCTCGGATGACAAGAGCTTGCTGGGAGAGAAAAGCAGGACAGGTGTCTCAGATTCTGGACCGATGCGAATCCCCCTCCTTCAGTCAGACCTCTCTGAATCTCAGAAATGGAGCAGCTAGAACACAAGGGTATAAGATGAACCACGCCCAAAAAAATTTTTAAGGAAGAGCATTGCAGTTGATGTCTTAGGACCCCAGAACTATCCTCTTCTTAAGGAGGAACTCACACAGATACTCTTGAAAACAAGAAATAGTAAGCAAATGTATGACTGTAGGTAGACACAGGAAGGTGAGGGCCACAGGGCTGATGGGAATGGAGCAACAATTCATCTAAACGGCACCAACTGTCATGTTCAGAGAGAGCATTGAAGGGGAAGCTAAAGGTCTCAGTGATCTTGCTCAAGTAGGGAACACTCTAATGAGCTGGTTCCCCTGCCTTTTAGCAAGGAAATAGGTATCCCATTGCACCCACAATCTTTCCTTCTGTTTGGCAGTTTGTTGTTGTAGACACAACCTAGTTCTGCTCTGTGCCTACAGTGGTGCCTGGTCTCCCTAGAGGACACACAGCCAAAGTCTTGGGTAAAGGGGCAAGTCCCACTGACAGCATCTGGGGCAGTATCCACTGAGCTCAGACAGGGGAACACATGGTCCCAGAAAAAGCATCTTCAGTGGATTTCCTTGGTTTCCAATGAATATTCCCTAAAGGTCTACAGCTGACTCCCTCTCTTCCTGAATGACCAAGTTGTCCACATGCTTCCCAAATGCATCAGAGCAGCAGCTGCAGGTCTTGTGCAAGGACAGGTGTTTCTGTCTCACTTGGTTCTTGACAAAGCATTTTCCTGCATCTTACTTCATTTGATCATCCCAAATCCCTGCGAGGAAATGGGGTTTCAAGAGAGGAAGTCGATTGTTCAAGATTTTTAGGTAGCAAGTGATGGGGCTAGGACCTCTGACACCCTCCACCCGGCCCCATTTTTGTCAGTAGTTGATGCTTCTTCCATGAAAGTAACGCAGACACTAGAAGGAAGATGGCTGGTCTACTCACCTGAGGAATCATTTTACTGAAGCTGGCAATGATGTTGGTGCTTTTGGCTTCTTGGTAGTATGCAAATGTGCCCGTTAAAATAATAACCAGGCCCACTGCAGCACCTAAATACACCTGAGTGACGAGAACACCCGAAAAGTAAATAACAGCAGTGAAGCAGATGCTACAGCTGCATTTTTTCACAGGAAGGTGAGGAACATGGCATTTGGTCCCACATCGTTTACGTGCCATAACACATATCTAAGTGCATACAATTCAATGACTGTTTAATTTAAGCAAATCTATAAAGTTGATCAACCACCACTATCATCAGCCTGTAGAACGTCTCTCTCACCAAAAAGACCTCACTCACTTGTGTCTGTTTGTAGTCAGCCACCTGCTCCCATCCTCAGCCTTGTTCACTGTCCCTGCAAATTTCTTTATGCTGGGCATTTATAGCCTTACTTGTTCGCATAACGGTGACCATTGTTTTCTGTCAGCATAATATTGACCACTGAAGTTTTATAATTTTGATACCTTGCTCTCTACAGGCCCAGATGCTCTCCATGTTTAAAGGATAGAATTAGCTTTGAGAAGAAGGATCTAAAAAATACTTCCATGCATAGAGAGTTGCTCCCACCCCTCCTAGAAACGCAGGGCACTATCTTTTGGTAGTTTTTTTAAATACATGCTCACAACACCTCTAAGGCATTAGGAAGCCACACAAATTCCCAAGTTTACTGAGCCAGGTGGTTGGACAGCCAGGGCCTTACATCGTCTTGGCTTGCGGAGGGGTCCACAGAGTACTCAATCCCATAGATGATCCAACTTGTGATGACTATAATCCACAGGAGGACCAAGAAGCCCCCCACCATCTGCTTGAGGAACTTGACAATCTCTGGCGTCTCCTTGGGAGGTCTGAGGGTGTTGGGTCCGTCGTGAGCCAGGAGCTCTGCAGCTCTGGTACTGGAGAGACCCTGCGAAGGCCGAGCAAAACCAAAACAGGAATTAGACACTTCTCCCTCAGGAGATGGGATCAGATTTCTACAGGTTGTGCTTAGAGTTCAAGTGCCAGTCTACACCTGGCTTTGGATAAGTGGACAATTGCCTCAGTCCTCCTCTTCCTGGTGTTTGCTATAGAGCCTGCTGTGCTGAATGTGACCCATATATGACAGGAACTGTTCTCTATGTATTCATTTGCTCCTCAAAATAACCCTGTCAGGAAGGTGTTGTTGTTGTCTTGTCTTTACTCATAGTAACCAGGAGGACAGAGTCAAACAGTCCCACATGGTTTCCAAGGCTCTAATCTGGTGGCACTGTCTGGTAAGTGTTGGACTGTTAAGCACATGGTTGGTGGTTCAAACCCACCTGTTCAACTTCAGGAGAGGGATGAGGTTACCTGTTCCCATAGAGACTTACAGTTTCAGAAACGCTACAGAGTCGCTACAAGTCAGGATGAACTAGATGGCAGTGGTGGAATCATTACAGACACTGCCATGCTTTCTCCCAGGGAGAGCCTACTGAGTTTGAACCACTGACCTTTCTGTTAGCAGCCTCGTACTTATCCAGTGTCACCAGGGCTCCTTGTATGCAGAGCACGCTTCTCTTTTTTCACACACCCATCCTGAAGTTTTGCTCATCTTAGCAGTAACAACATCTACTCATCATTTGAAGACCAAACGGCCAGAAGCACCTTGCTGTCTGCTGCTTTGTGTTGCCTACAGACACATGGAGGTGTGCCCACCACTTTTGAAATCTTGCTCTGTCAGTTTTAGGACTTTCTTCCCCACAAACTACCTTCTATTTGAAGAGTTGTGTACGTACTTTATTGATACTATGAGCTACTTAACGTTAAGGCTTATATCTTGCTCTCTTGCTCATTGTTAGGTCCTACAAGGTCAATTCTCTACTTGTCTCCTTGTTGTACGGTTGTGGTTGGCTGGTAGCTGAGAGCAATGCTATTTCAAAAACCAGCAGGGTCCCCCAGGGCGAACAAGCTTCAGACTAAGACAGAATGGAAAGAGGAAAGAGGCTGTCCGCTTCAGAGAGATCAACTACTGAAAACCTATGGAGAACCAAGGAGTATCGTCTGATAGAGTACCGGAAGATGGGGCCCTCAGATTGGAAGGCACTCAAAATAACTGGGGAAGAGCTGCCTCCCCAAAGTAGGGTCCGTAATGATGTGGATGGAACCAAGCTGTCAGGCCCTCCATGGGCTGACGGGGAACAACACAAAATGAGAAGAAAGCAATACAAACATTCATTAATAACTGGAGAAGCTGGACTGTATGAAGAACGTGGCAGAAGAATTGGAGGAAGACTCATTAACAACGTCAGTATGTAGATGACACATCTTTGTTTGCTGAAGGCACTTATTGGTGAAGAGCAACAACTACGTAAAGAAAACCAAAATCCTTACAGCTAGACCAATAGACTCATGGTAAACAGAGGAAAGACTAATGCTGTCAAGAATTTAACTTTACTTGGATCCACAATTGATGCTCATGGAAGCAGCAGTGAAAACATTAGACATTGCCTTGGTCAAATCTGCCCCACAAGACCTATTTCAAGGGTGTAAGAGCAAAGATGTCATTTTCATCCGTCTTGAAAGCCTGACACAAGTCATGGTATTTTCTTTCTTTTTTTATGCTAAAGATATTTTTTTATTATTTTTAAATACTCTTATTGGGGACTCTTACATCTCTTACCACAATCCATATGTTCATCCATTGTGTCAAGCACATTTCTGCATATGTTGCCATCATCCTTTTCAAAGCATTTTCGTTCTACTTGAGCCCTTGATATCAGCTCCTCATTTTCCCCCCTCCCTCCCTCATGGTAGTAACCGCTATGCCAGCAGGGCTCCTGACAGTTGCTGTCAGGCCAGGTAAAGAGGGATGGAGGCAGGAAACAGGTCCGTGGCAGCTTTGTGGTGATAGGAGAGGCATAGGAGGTCAGATTTGGCCTCCAGAATGTTTGACTCAGCAGAATCATTTAGCTTGTCAAGTCATTTATTTCCCTGTTTAAAAGTTGTGCCCCCTGGTTAAACAGTCTCCATTTCGTAGCTCCATATCAGAGAGCTTGACAGTTTCACCTGAGTTACTCATTTCCTTTTCTACACACCAGGTCCTAGTGTCCTCAGCTTGCTTTCAGGGTCCAAACTCGTTCTGTTCATTTTGGGCTCATTGGTGCTCTGACAACTTAAAAGTCTCATCACCCTCTGAAGTCCAAGTGCAAACACCGGGTCACCTAAGGACACTGCTCTGGCCTCTCTGGTCTAAACTTCTCACTGGTCACTTAAGCGGTAATCGCTATGGTCTTGTCATTCCCATCTGCCTCCTCCACTAACTGCTTTCCCCTTAGACCAGAGATGATCTCATTCCTCTTTGCTCTCCCTCTGGGAGCAATCCAGCGGTGAGCGCTGAGAGCAGGGAACGTCTGCTGCTCTACATTCCGCCGATAGCTCCGACTACTGAGACTCCAGTCGTCTTTTAAATCCGTGACAGAAAGGAGGGCTTTCTGAGGTGGTGGCCTTTGTAAGCTGCCTGTGAGCACACCAGTGTGTGCCTGGGGCGATCCTCCCATCTTGACACAGAAGGCAGGACCAGTGGGGTTCTAGCTAGCACCCACCTCCCCAATTACGTTGTTCTTATTTTTGAATTGTGCTTATGGAGCAAATTGGTTTTCTGTTCAACAAGCCATACGCATTTTATTTCTTGTCACTGATGGCTAGCTATACAATGTCAGGGTTCCCAATTCCTCCTCACATTGACTTATTTCCCTCTGTCCTCTCTTATCCCTTCCTTTCTTCCGAGCTCTGTCCTGGGGCAAAAGAACCCTGCCCTTTGGAGCCTGGTACGCTTGATGGTTCTAATGAGAGCATCTCTCTCCCGTGTTTTCCTTTTAGGCAAGTCTGCGGATTGCCAGAAAGTGGAACCAAGGGGGTGAGTTCCATTCCAGGCTAGGAGGATGTCTTAGTCCTCCTTAGGTTATGGGTTCAGGGTTCCACTCAGACCAGAAAGCCTGGTCTGTTCTAGGATTTTGACTTTTGTTCCACATTTTTCTCCCACATTATCTAGGCCCCTTTCAGCGCGAGCACTAGGGAATTCTTCAGGTCTCAGGTCCTTGGCGACTGGGGTGTACGTGTCTAGGGTCCGGTGGCAGCGTGACTGAAGACAGCAGCTGAAGTCTCTCCTGCTCCAAAGCTTACCAAGCTCCGCCCATCTGCCCGCCCAATTAAGTGACGTCAGCTCGCCCTAGCTGGCACCCGGCCAGTTGGAGTTCTGGGCACCAACCAGAAAGACGCTCCGGATTCACCATGTCTACACAATTTATAGATGGCTCAAAAAACATAACTATTGTGGAATTTCCTTCTCTCTCGCTGACACCTTCCATTCCATGCTGGTTCCCACAGCAGAAGCAGAGGCCGTGGTACCAGAGCTGTTTAACCCTTTCCTTGCCAGACTATGTTGTAGTTTGTTAGTGGGTTTGTATTAAATCTACTTTTCTCTTCCTTTCTGTAATAGCAGCTCTCAGTGTTCTCTATACCTTTTAAGTCAGCTAATTCTCTGGCTTTAGACAAAGAGCCAGCCCTAACCTTTCTTGAACTGACTATGCTAAACTCCTTTCCCCTCCTTTTCTTTGATTTCCGATTCCCCACAAACCTCACCTCCCTCAATAAATCTATAAACTAATGGTTTCGCTCTGTCTCCTGTCTCTGAAAAACCTAACAATGTGATCCTTCAGACGGTTACTTTTGATCGTCGCTTTTGAGCACTGGTTTCCCCCATTGTCTGATGAAAAGAGCAACACTTGTGAAAATGCTCTATGGGCCCAAGGATGACAAGCCACCCCTTACAGTGACAGTGAGAAGTGTCACTGTCTTCCTGAGGACATGATAGCCTTTCTGCAGCCACAGCAAAAGGGTTGTGCACGCTCCCCGGTCAGTGAAAGGACCTTGTCTCAGACACATGGCCTCCTCTAGGCTGGTACCTAGGCATGTGGAGTCCTGGTATCCTCAAGGTGGCTGCTATAGGTCACTCACTCTAACGTGACATTTGATGTCTGCTTTCCCACAGCCTGCTCCCTTGCGTGGCCAGAGCCCTTCTCGTCCTGAGCCCTGGTTCCTGAGGACTTACCATCATGATGTTGGTTCCATATTTCTTTTCCAGGTCTTCACTGCTGAGTTTGTGGTCATCCTGAAATCCGGGAAAGGAAGAAGAGAGGGGGTGAGATAGTTTATTGTGCCAGCCTGGCTGATGGACACAAGTGGGATTAACTGAAGGGCGGAGAGACGGATGGTTTGGTGAGCCTCGCCTTTCTTGTCTCTCACTCTTTGATCATCGGACCAGTGTGCGGCTGCCTTGCTTGTTCTGTGCCTCAATTTAAAGGCTACACTACCTGTGGGACGCCTAGACTGTGGACTGTGTCACTGTAAGTTGAGGTCCCTTTAAGACATCTCTGGAGCTGTGGACTGGCCATTGGTGACCTGCCTTCTGATTGGCTGCTGTGCTGACCTAGCCTAGCTCTCTCTATAAATAGAGGAAGATCTGGCAGCAGACTAGACTTGAAGGACTGCTAGTCTCTCACAACTCTCTCTCTCATGGATGTGAGTTGCACTGAGCCATTTGTAGTGCTTTATAATTTAACTGTTTATTTCTTGTATTATGTATTTATCTGTATATGACTTATCAGTTCATTTCTTGTTATATATCTAATTATCCTTATAAAAAATAAATTATCAGCAATTTGGTTTTATCTCTCTAGATAACCCTGTCTAACACAGGGGGTTAGACCCTTCCACATGTCTCAGCCCTGAGTTTTGACCCTGAAAGCTAGATGTAGTACTAAGAATTGAAGAGGGACCAGGAAGTACGTGTCAAAGGAAAAGAAAAAAACAATACAAAGTCTCCTAACTCATGGGGTAGGGTATTTTCTAACCATCCTTGAAATGTTCACACTGAAGTTGACATTTATCACTTACTAGAGGAGTCCTGGCACTAGTGGTTACACATTAGGCTGACATCTGAAACATCACCTGTTTGAAACCACCAGCCTCTCCACCCGAGAGAGATGAGGCTTTCTACTCCTGCCAAGAGTTACAGTCTGAGAAACCCATGGGGGGCATCTTTACCTTGTCTTACAGAGTCACTATGGGACAGCTTGGACTCGATGGGAGAGAGTGAGTAGTTAGTTAGGCATCCTCACTTTTGAATCAACACAATGAAGCATGTTACCTCGTCCTTGATCTCTAACACATGTTAAGTCGTATGATACTTGCCGTCCAGATCCTAGCTCTCTGGATATTAATTGAGACCTAAATTCTGAGGTGAGCTGAGGATAATTAATAAGATCTAGCAAACTAGACCCACTGCATCTGACTCAATGACTCACTTAAATGCCAACAAGGGTCTTGTGTGCTGACAAGTTATTCGCACAGCCCCCCAAAAAAGCACCATCCCTTCAAGCACCAAGAAGCCTGTGTGCCTTCCTTATGCAAGTAATAGCCCTCAAGGACTCGACTGGCTAGAGAAACTCTACAGGCAGAAACCCTGCTAAATCAATGCCAGCAGGGCCCTCACTTGCTATTTCTACCCTGGGACCATTAGAGCTTTGTTGTGTGACATATCCCGTTGATTCTGACTCACAGCAACCCTGTACTAACACTGGGTGTGTTTGTTTCACTTCCACCACTATTGACAACATGAGCCAGACAATTCTTTGCTCTGTATGTGTATGTGGGTGGTGGTGAGTGGATAGGGGGCCGGGGGACGCAGAAGGTGGGGTGTCACATGCATTGTAGAATGTGTAGGAGCATCCCTGACATCTTCCCACTAAGATCTCAGCAGCATCCTCCCCTGAGTGGTGACACCAGCTGTCTGCAGACCTGGCCAAATGTCCCGTGGTTTTGGGGGCCGGAGAATCATCTCCCCTTTCCTGTGAGACTGACTGGCTTCCAGCACCAGAAGCTTCTTCCAGTAGCTTCAGGAAACCCACGAGTACATCCTCCTTAGCCCCAAAGAACACCCAGCACTCAGGAGGGACAAAGTGTATTCATTCACCCCTATTGATCCGTGAGGCTCATTCTCCCAGTCCCCGAGTGTCTGAAACAAAAAAAAAGTCTTAACTAAATGAAGGAAGGTTTCATGTTTCATTACAAGGTTTAGCCATCCAATAAAAGATCATTTTTTTTACTTCTTATCTTCTCTCAGCCTTATTCATCCTGACAATTTTTGGGTTTTTTTGGACTGTGCTATAGCCAGGGACTGGAAAGATTAAGTAATCCACAAGTTAGGAATTAGTTTACTCTCCTGAGTTCACAGATAAGCCAACAGCAAAGAGCACACCTCGGGACCTATGCTGTTCAGGCATGACTCACATACTCAGAAGTAGGCTGCCCTCAGGCCAAACCAAATACCTTTCTTCTTCATAGAAGCCTGAGCTTCAGGGAGGAAGGCAGGATGTCTCCGAGCCCTCTGCTGGCCGGCAAGGCAATAGCACTCACGGCCACAGCTGTCCATGTGGTTCAGATTCATAGGACCGAGTAGAAACGCTCCTGTGGGATTCCAAGAGTGGATCTTTATGGGAATAGGAGCCTCATCGTTTTCCCGTGGAGTGGGCTGGCGACCTTGCAATTAGGAGTATAAAAGGAATAGTACCGGCGTGGGTAAATTGTCAGTCTGTTTATATGTATGAAGAAACCGGGAACACATCTTGTCATCAACGTTCTAAGCATCCAAGACACCAGAATGCAAAGCATCCAAGTACCGGGCCCCGATTTAAAGGACTCTCATGAAAAGTTTGGGGGGAAAAGAAAGAAAGATGGTCTTTCCTCATCAGCGAAGCAGGAAAACGTTTGGTCTTAATAATTTGGCAATCCTTTCACTGGGGGGTATAACTGCACGGACCGCTCAGAAAAAGCAGGTCCTCATTTTCACAAACACACATATATTCCTAGTATCGATGCAATTTCAAGAAGAGTGGCTCTGGTTTCAAGCACAAATTCTAGAGATACACAGGAACCAATTCACATTTACTGAATATCTACTATGTGTCCAAAGAAACCCTGGTGGCAAGGTGGCCATGCATTGGGCTGCGATCCACAAGGTCAGCAGTTCAAAACCACCAGCTGCTCTGCGGGAGAAAGAAGGTGTTCTATTCCTATAAAAAGTTACAGTCTCAGAAATCCACAGGGGGCAGTTCTACCCTGTCCTAGAGGGTCACTATGACTTGGCATTGCCTCAATGGCAGTGGGTTTTTACGGGGAGTATGGGGAGCAGGGAATGTTACAATGTCCCCAGTCCTGCTTTGTCTCAGTCTGTGGTGAGCACCAGTTTTGTCTCAGTCTGTGGTGGGCACCAGTTTCCTATTGTACAAAAGAGGAAATTGAAGCTTCAATCAAACTAGGATTTAAATTCAGTTTGTCCAGTATTCAGCTCTGCATTCTTAAATGTCTGTCTGTCTGTCTGTCTTCTTTCTCATGGGTCATCCTATGTCCAGAAACCTAACAAGTCTGGTGGCTTTGGCTCTGGATTAAGTGCTTTCCCTCTCCCACATAAAAGCCGGCAAGTGGCTGCTGATATTTCACTTTAACGAGCTGCACATGAAGCACCCGAGACCCTCCTCTCTGGATTCTCCCCGGGAATCCCGCACAGGATCTGATGGCCACCGGATGTTATCACGCCAGCTGTGTTTAAACCAGGAACCAAATCGTAAGAGACTTGCCAGTGGCTTGACCTGGTTCTTCTTTGGTAATAGTCCAAGCTCTCAGGAGGGTGGCCATCAGGGGAACCCCATTGGACCCAAGGCTACTGACCAGATCTGGCTCTTCCTCAGTCTCCTGTTTCTGGTGATTCTTTTTGCGGTTCCAGCACGTGTCCTTCCGGCCCCTGCTGGACGTCTCCCGGCCGTCCTCCTTGCGGCTGTTCTGGATGTCTTTCATTCCATTGAGCTCTACGGAGTAAATTTCTAGGGTCCTCTGGAAGAAAAGCAGGGCCACAAATTTGGTCCCATTGGACTTTCCTCCACTGAGGGGGTCAGACAGACATAGGGACAAGGCATGGTGCCCTCCCTCGCCTTTCATGGCCTTGGTCTGGGGAGAAGGAGCAGGGTTGGGAGGAGAAATGACTGGACAGTGTTTCTCTCCCACCTTTAGGCAACAACTCCCCACCTCTCTCTATCTCCCCTTGGCTGTTTCTAGGGGGAAGGTTGGGTGGGACAAGGCAGGCCTGCGGGGCCTCTAGGCGAAGGGATCCTCCCTGGGGTGGGCCAGGCAGACAGGGCCCCTCTAAGGAGCTGTAAGTCTCCACTAGTGCTTTAATCCCTGCAGGACCCTCTACATCGATGCCCCCTTTCCTAGGTAGGGACCTGTCCAATGAGCTCATGAACCTCACCAAGGGGCCAAGGGCAAGACAACTGACCCAACTTTTCCCAGAATCCGGCTCCATCCACTTAATTGTAGTCCTCACTTTTGGAATGAGGGCCACACACACCCATTTCCCAGCTGTCCCTTCCCCCAACCCCTCCAAGCCCCCTACTTCCTTGCTTCCTAAGTGCTGCTAAAGCAGGTCCTGGGCCCCTTCACGCATGTCTGGATTGACTTCTTCACCCAGTCCGCCCTGGGGTCCCAGCCTTGGCGTTTGGCAGTGGGGTGGGGTCCACTACCCAGCGCAAGGGAGGTCCTGTAGGGGCTGGGGGTGGACGTAGGCCAGGCGCCTGTGCAGAACCAGCCGGCCTGCGTTTCCATCCCTCCTCCAGGACCTGGGGGGGTGGGGGGTGGGATGGGGGGGACGGCGCGCACACACCTTGACCATGATGCTGACGCCTGGGTGCCTGCCGCGTCAGGCCAGCGGGGGTCTCCGCGCTGCGGGGGTGGAGTGCGGCGGGGCACGGTGGAGTCCGCGCTGGGGATCTCGGGCTGCAGGTAGGCGAGCCAGGCCAGGCGCCCGCTCCGCTTTTAAAGCTAGGCGGCTCCACCCTGACCTCGCGGACCAGGCTCCTTGAAAGTCGACCCCACCTTTTCTTTGTCCCGGCACACCTGCTTTCTAACAGTGACGCGTGACCAGAGACCCGGAGCAGGCGTAGGGAATGTCGGGCCCGCGGGCACCTCACCCAAGAGAGGCAATTGCAGCCATCCCATTCAAAACCAAAGTTACAGGAGGGGTAGGTGTGGGTGGGAGGGGGGGAAACACTCCTCTTTCTTCCGAGGAGTAGTTTCGAACGGCTAACTTCAGGATAGCAGCCCAAAGGTGTAACCCACTACACCATCAGAGCTGCCTAGCCGTCCCATTAGAGGCGAGATGATGAGATATTTGACCAAATACACCAGTCTAATTTTTAAGTTGATAATTCTGTACAGCTCTGCGAATTATAAAGATCCAAATGGCCTTTGGCAGGAAAAAGGTTCCCCGAGATTCAAAGATATCCTTTGAACTTGGACGTGAAGCTTTTCCCCCAGGATATCGTACTGTGAAACAATAGATTGGCCTACAGATGAACAGACACTCAACTGTGAGCAATCTGCGCCCTTACACAACTCGCTGTAGGAGACCACAAGATCCTCATTTGCCCCCAAACAAAGTTCAGACGGTCAGGGGGGAAAGAAGCAAAACTAACAACAAACCAACCACTACCACGGAGTGGATTCCAATCACCCTTAATCTTTTGGGCAGGGTAGAACTGCCCCTGTGGGTTTCCAAGGCTGGGAATCTTTATCTGACCAGAAAGCCTCATCTTTCTCCTGCAGATCCTCTGCTGGGTTTGAGCCACAGACGTTGTGGTTAGCAAGCCACCTGTGACACACTACGCCCCCAGAGCTCCTTGGAAGGAAAACTCCAAACCCAAACTCACTGCCATCATGTTGATTCCGACTCATAATGACCCTATGAA